GCCGCCTCCCACGGCGCGCGGCAGCCGGTAAGTCGCCCCGGTGGCGGGGGCGCGCTGGGAGGGGATGCTGCGCTGACCGTTAACGGTCTCCGCGCTGACCGTTAACGGTTTCCCCGCCTGTGTCGGGTGCTGGTTCCTCCCGGTGGGAGAGGCGGCCCTGGGCCCGGGGGCCGAGTGACCTGTGAGCAGAGCCCCACGCCTCGCCAGCGGGAAGGGGAAGGGAAGAGGAAAGGGAAGGGGAAAGGAAAGGAAAGGGGAAAGGGAAGGGAAGGAGGTCATCCGGCACAGGCAGGTTGATTCTCCGGTGCCAAGTCCYGCTCGGGCCATTTGTTTAGCTGCTCTTTTACAATTCCCTGGCAGCGGGAAAAGGGACAGAGGAGAAAGCCGTCCCTGGGGCTGGGCCTTGCTCCTGCCCCCTCCATTAACGCCAGCAGGGCCGCGCGCGCGTGGGGGCYGGCGAGGGAAGCCACAATCGCTCCTTTCAAAGCGATGAAAAGGCGCGTTTCTCGCCCGAGTGAGGCGGTGGGGCGCAGCGCCCCGTGGCGGGGCCGCGCGGGGGCGGGAGGGCAGCAGGCGGCGCCTTGGGGCCCCGGGCGGCGCGCGGAGCCGTCGCGGGGCTGAAAGGGCCCCATGGAAGCTCCCCTCGCCGAGCGAGCGGCACGGAGCGGGAGCCAGCAGTGCCGCAGGCACACGGGCTTGGTGTCTCCCTTTSCAGCTGCTTCAGGAAAGAGCTGTGCGGTCAACGCGGGCGCTCTGCGCTCACCCTGCGGCTCTGTTTATGGCTGGACCGCGCAGAGCGCTCCTGGTTTCTCCTGGTGGAGCCTCCTTCTCTGGAGGTCTCCAAACCCGCCTGGATGCCGCCCTGTGCCCCGTGCTCTGGGTGTCCCTGCTGGAGCAGGAGGTTGGACTRGATGATCTCCAGAGGTCCCTTCCAGCCTCAATCGTTCTAGGATTCTGTTTCGGAGGATGTGGCTCGTGGTCAGGCCTGGCAGCGACTGCCCATCACGGAGCACACGGTGCTGGTTGTGGACTGATCGGGAAGGAGGAGGGAGGACCCTGGCCGTGCTCCGGGAGGCTGCGGCAGCAGGGGCCACGCGGGCACCAGCATTCCTGTCCCGTGGAGAGGGAGAGGTCCCGGCACGGGGCCGGTGCCTCCGAGCCTCTGGGCAGCACCAGGTCTCGTTTTCCTGGTTTGTGTCGCTGTTTGCACTGCTCCCCTTTCCTGCTCAGGAACTATACAGGTCTTTCTCCAAAGACCCCCAAAGCAYACACGTTTTCTCTCAGTAAAGCAATAGGTGATCGCTGCCATCAGACCCAGCATGTTTGAAAGTTTTGCCCCATACTTCTGCATGTAGTTCTTCTTTTTATAGACTGGACTCATGTATTAATTCTATGTAACTCGTACTGTGTTACCATTCTCACTCAACATCTTCATGAACTTTTCTTTCCTTGATTTTTTTCTACCTTTCTCCTCCCTTTCTTCTGAGTTATTTTGCCAAGGCTTCGTTTGCAAAAAGCAACTCCACTTTTCCCATTTGTTCTCTGTCTCTCTTTCATACATCTATCTATGCAGTTAGATCTCAGTGCAATCCATGCATATATCTATTCACCTGTATTTAATATTTTGACCCTCCAAAAAGTAAAATGTTTTCCTCTTCACTGYCAGAGTTAGTTAGCTACCTACTTTGTTCATGTATTAATGGCAACCTTCCCCTTCCATTGGATTAAATGCCTCTTTGGTTATCTAGAAAGTAATTGATTGTAGCAGCAGAGATGCAGAATATTGCGTATTTTGCAGAATGTTGGGGGTACAGGGAGTTGAAGCAGGTTTCCTGTTTGGATGCCTGTCTGTTCTTGCTCGTTGCAGTGCTGGGGTCGCTGCTCTGGAGCTGCCCTCTGGTTCCTGCTCCTTGCGGTGCTGGGATCGGTGCCCTGAGTGACTCCCCACTGGTTCCTGCTCCTTGCGGCCCTGGGGTCTCTGCTCGGGAGCTCCTTCCAGCCGCCCCACGGGCTGTCCTCCGTGCTCGTGGCTCCTTCCCAGCCCGCGTGCGGCCGGCAGGAGCCTCGCAGCGACGGGCTCCGCAGCGGGCAAAAGGAGAGGGGAGAGCCGGCCCTCGGTGTGGCGGGGCCGCGTGCTGCGCGAGATGGGCTGCTGTTCCCCGTGTCCCCAGCAATGCCGTCCTCTTTGCGTGCTGCCCTCTGAGCAGGAAAGACTGTGTCGTAAGACCAATACATTTGTGATTAACTGAGCCAGCTAGAAATCCAGATGGAGCTCTGGGAAAGTTTTGCGACAAGCCCTTTAGAAACGGGGAGGGAAGGAATGACGTCTCATTCGAGCCATCTCAAGCTGTCTGCACCTTGTGCTGTTCTGGTGAGATCATTAATTTTACAAAAGGGATGAGAAACAGGAAGTATTTAGCAAGGTAAATCAGTGTTGAGATTACTAAGCCTTGGGTTAGTTGTTCACTGAATAGAATTGGATGAAATGTTGTCTTCAGGCATAACCTAGGTGCTCCACCCAACCAAGACYGGCTTGAAAAGGCCAGGCGGTTTGGTGGCGACTGGCCTGCTTTTAGCACRTTGCACATTTGCTGCTTCTTGAGCTGTCATCCTCTTTCTGAAGTAGCARTACAGTAGTAACTTGTTTTTTTCCAACCCTTTGTTGCTATTTCTTTGAAAAGTAATAGGAATGCAGGTATCATGTAATTATTTTTCTGGATTTAAGGTCTCTGAATATTTGATAAACTATTAAAAATTAAGGACAGTGAATGCTTCATGAGATGCTGGCACTGAGGGAGAGATGCACATTGTCTTGTTTCTTTCCAGAATTGTTTCGTTCCAGATTGGTTTAGCTACTTTGTCTTCACTTGAACTACACAATATTTCTAGACAGATTTCCAATTTAAATGAAGACTTTTTTACAGCAACTATYTGAAAATAATTCCTGAGTAATCAGGTATCTGAGGACAAAGAAGTATTTGGACAATTTGGTATCAGTCAAAATTCTTAAAATAGATTTTCTTTTAAAGTAGAATTAAATAATTTTTTGTATGTTGGGGTTTCTCTGTTCTTCAAATTTTACTATTTGTATAGGTTTATTTTTCTTTTTTTTTGTGGTGCCAGAGATCCTGCTGTAGATCCTGTAACCAGGTCAGCTCTGGTCCTTTCCTTGAACCAATTAACCCAAGCTTCTTTCATGTTTGTAAAGCTGATTTTTGACGGTTGTGGCTTACCCTTTCCTGATCATTGCTCAGCTTGACGGTCTCCTCTCTCAGCAAACACTGTGACCAGGCATTGCCGACAGAGCACGTTCCCATGACCATAACTACATGGTTATACGTGATTCCTTCCTGGCAGTCCCAGTGTCACTGTGTATTAAGGTGATGAGCGTGTGAGGGCTTTTGGGGCAGGATGTGAGTTTTTGGTTTTGCCCTGTCATTAACCCTTGGCTGAAGGAAGGAGAGAGAGGGACGTGGTGCAAGATGCTGGGCCASAGGTTGGGTGCAGGAGACTCGTGTTCCTGCTCTTCCCGTCTTTCCCTCTGCCAGCCCAGGGACGGTGCTGAGGAAAGCTGGCGTGCAAACAGAGCTGCTTCTTGGGGAAGCATTTCTACCTATTGCATCCTGCAGCCTCTGTGTCCTGTGCCTGAAATGACATAGGGATTGCCATGTGCTCCTATATGCTTATGCTRGCAGAAAAAAGCACTTCCAGTTTTCACCTGGAACTGTGTAGTGTCATTAAACTAACTTTCACATGCTGAACAAAGAGCAAATATACTGTTTTTGAAAGAGMGAATTTGAGATGTCTTGGACTACCCTGACAATTGTGTAAATATCTATTGCAGCAGCTSCAATACTGCCCTCTCTTTCTGGGCTGAAATATAAGCTTCTTTACCATGAATTCAGAAATGCAAACAAATTAAGCATCTCAGGCCTCTGATACAAACTTTTGAGCAGTGATAAAGCTGGATGTCTTTTGTGTTGTAAATGCAGGCATGTTTTGCTCAGCAAAATGCAAAGGAGGCAGATGGTTGTTCTGCAAGTTGTTATCCCTTAGTGTCTGTTTCACAAATAAATTTTGTCAAATTTATAAGCAGTCAGTGTAACTGTGGAAAATCTGGTTATTTTTCACTTTTTTTTACCTAAAAACAGCTAACTTGTAAGAGGAACATAAATTTTTTTTTTTGAAAATGGAAGTTACTGAGTTACTGGCTATGAGGACTCTTAACCTATTCATTTTCCACTGAGCTAGTACAGGAACAGTAGCTGCAGTCCTGGTTTTCTCARTACACTTTATATTAGCCTAAAAGGAGACGTAGTGCAGGCTGCAGTCCCAAACAGGTCCTTGGCAAGACAAAAAGAGGATGATAAATATTGTCTGTAAGGAGTGTGTACATTCAATTATCTACAGAAAGACAGAAACCTGCTATACATACATTTGCTTTTCTTAATTTCATATAAATCATAAGGAATGTGTTATAATTACTGATAAAATCGTGTGGTTGCTGTTGCTAATTGCTTTGCCACTCTGTTAATTGCAACTCACTTCTCTAAAATATTTTTAATGCTTTTTTTTTCCATAGCAAAATGATGGATATCGATCCTTACCTCTCTTTGGTCATGTTGGCTTTGATAGTTTGCCAGATCAACTGGTTAACAAATGCATCAAACAGGGCTTCAGCTTCAACATTCTTTGTATTGGTGAGTAGTGTGTGGGGGTGTTACGACCTTCTATGTAGGAGTGACTAGCTGGATAGGTGAGGGCAGAGCGGTGGGTGATGAGTGCATGGTGAGGTGGATCGAGAGCTGGCTGGATGGCAGAGCTCAGAGGGTGGTGATAAATGGGGCCGAGTCCAGTTGGAGGCCTGTGGCCAGTGGTGTCCCCCAGGGGTCAGTACTGGGCCCAGTGCTGTTCAATTTGTTCATCAATGACCTGGACGAGGGCACGGAATGCACCCTGAGCAAGTTTGCAGATGACACCAAGCTGGGTGGAGTGGCCGACACTCCGGAGGGCTGTGCTGCCATCCAGAGGGACCTGGACARGCTGGWGAGTTGGGCAGAGAGGAACCTCATGAGGTTCAATAAGGACAAGTGCAGGGTCCTGCACTTGGGGAGGAATAACCCCAGGCATCAGTACAGATTAGGGGTCGACCTGCTGGAAAGCAGCTCCACGGAGAGGGACCTGGGAGTCCTGGTTGACACCAAGTTAACCATGAGTCAGCAGTGCCCTCGTGGCCAAGAAGGCCAATGGGATCCTGGCTGTATCAGGAGGAGTGTTGCCAGCAGGTCAAGGGAGGKGATTCTGCCCCTCTGCTCAGCTCTGGTGAGGCCGCACCTGGAGTAGTGGGGGCAGTTCTGGGCTCCCCAGTACAAGAGGCACATGGAGCTTCTCGAGAGGGTCCAGAGAAGGGCAACCAGGATGATTAAGGGAATGGAACATCTCTCGTACGAAGAGAGACTGAGTGAGCTGGGCCTGTTTTCTCTGGAGAAGAGAAGGCTGAGAGGGGATCTGATTAATGTGTATAAGTTCAGGAAGGGAGAATGCAGGGAGGAAGGGGACAAGCTGTTTTCACTGGTGGCCAGCGATAGGACAAGTGGTAATGGCCATAAGCTGGAGCACAGGAAGTTCCATCTCCAGGTGAGGAGGAACTTCTTTACTGTTAGGGTGACAGAKCAGTGGAACAGGCTGCCCAGGGAGGTTGTGGAGTCTCCTTCTCTGGAGGTCTTCAAAACTCACCTGGATRCCACCCTGTGCCACATGCTCTAGGTGTGCCTGCTTGAGCAGGAAGGTTGGACTAGATGATTTCTAGAGGTCCCTTCCAGCCTTAAATATTCTGTGATTCTGTGATTCTGTGTCGTCTATCTGGACTTCAGCAAGGCTTTTGACACCGTGCCTCACAGCATCCTCCTGGGCAAGCTCCGAAGGTGTGGGACAGATGAGTGGACGGAGAGGTGGATCAGGAATTGGTTCGATGGCAGGGTGCAGAGGGTGGTAGTCAGTGGCGCGGAGTCCAGTTGTAGTCCTGTAGCTAGCGGTGTCCCCCAGGGATCGGTCCTTGGTCCAGTCCTGTTCAACTTACTCATTAACAACCTGGATGAAGGGCTGGAGTGCTCCCTCAGCAAGTTTGCTGATGATCCCACACTGGGAGGAGTAGCCCCTGAGGGCTGTGCTGCCATCCAGAGGGACCTGGGCAGACTGGACGAGGGGGCGGTCAGAAACCTCATGAAGTTCAACAAGGGCAAGAGCTGGGTCCTGCACTTGGGGAGGAATAACCCCAGACACCAGTACAGATTAGGGGTGGACCTGCTGGAGAGCAGCCCCGCAGAGAGGGMCSTSRGYGTYRTGGTGGAYGACAAGWTGACCATGAGGCAGCAGTGTGCCCTGGTGGCCAAGAAGGCCAACGGGATCCTGGGGTGCATTAAGAAGAGCGTCTCCAGCAGGTCAAGGGAAGTGATTGTCCCCCTCTACTCAGCCCTGGTGAGGACACATCTGGAGTCCTGTGTCCAGTTCTGGGCTCCCCAGGACAAGAGGGATGTGGAGCTGCTGGAGAGAGTCCAGCGCAGGGCTAGGAGGATCATCAGGGGCCTGGAACATCTGCCCTRTGAGCAAAGGCTGAGAGAGCTGGGCCTGTTCAGCSTGGAGAAGAGAAGGCTGAGGGGGGACCTGATCAGTGTGTATAAATACCTCAAGGGAGGCAGTGAGGAGGAGGGGCCGGCCTCTTTTCAGTGGTGGMCAGCRATAGGACTAGAGGAAATGGCCACAAGGTGAGGAACCAAAAGTTCCAGAGGAACTTAAGAAAACACTTCTTGACAGTGAGGGTGACAGAGCCCTGGCACAGGCTGCCCAGAGAGGTTGTGGAGTCTCCTTCTTTGGAGATCTTCCAAACCAGCTTGGACGCAGCCCTGTTCCACGTGCTCTAGGTGWCCCTSCGTGAGCAGGGGGGTTRRACTGGATGACCTCTGAGGTCCCTTCCAACCTTRRGCATTCTGTGATTCTATGAATTGTAAACTGTACCTCTCCTTAGGAAGTGGCCGACAATCCAGTTGCAACCTTAAATGCTTTCTTTAATGTTGAGTATGAAATATGATTCCTCTCCTTTTTCTGGCTGTTTTACGTGCACACATACACACTATTTTCTTTTAATGCTTGACATTTCTTGTTTAATGTGAATATCAAAAATGTCAAAGATGGGTGCCATGTGTTTTTTGATTTGTGAATCATTTCAGTAAAATGAGGTACCCCCAATTTTTATTGTATGAAACACACATTATTTTTGCTATAACAAAGAGTTTTAGATCAAAAAAATCCTAAAGCCCAAGATGACAATGCTAAGGTATTTCTGTGTTTATCGGTTACTTGCTTACCCCTTGCTTACCTCTTTTTCTTTTTAATTTTAGGGGAAACTGGAACTGGGAAATCAACCTTGATAGACAGCTTGTTTAACACCACTTTTGATGACCCTGTGTCAACACATTTTCAGCCAAATGTAAGACTTAGAGCCCGGACATATGACATGCAGGAAAGCAATGTTCATTTGAAACTAACCATTGTAAACACGGTGGGATTTGGGGACCAGATAAACAAAGAAGAGAGGTAAGTGTTGGGTAACTGTTGTGATATTGCAAGATTTTAGTCTTCAGTTACAGTGCAGCTGCAAGCTGTTTTTTTTCCCCTTTGGATTTTGTGGTAAATTTTAAAAATATATTCTAAATTGGTTCTATGTTTTCTCAGGGTGCCAGATCAGACATGGTTTGCTTATCTTGGAAGTGATTGGAGAAATCACTTTCAACCTTGCCCCCTCACTTATATTATAAGCTTTTACAAATATGTCAATAAAACATGTAATTGTCACTGGAATTTCTTTTGGGGTKTGTGGGGGAAACAGGAATATGGTCGATAAAGGACTTTAAAAACAGCCAAACGTAAATATAAACATTGTATAAAGTAGATCTACAGAGATTTTTAAAAATTAAGTGGAACATATTAAAGACTTTAAGCTGGTAGAAAGATCATGTGTATTTTTGAAAACTTCTGCATTTTGAATAGCTTCAATAAAATGTAGAAGGATAAAGATGGTGTAACTTATTGTCATTTGAGTCTCTGTTTTTATGAATCAAAGATTTAAGATGTTGAACTGCTTTTCAGTGAGTGGTGTTTCTTCCACCTTAATTCTAAAGGAATTTTATAATCCTCAGTGTTAAACAAAGACCAAAAGTGATGGCAGTTAGAAATGAAGGTTAGAGAGTCATTTTAGGATTATCAGGAGAGCTATGGCTTGTGACACAACTGAAAAATAGCTTTTGCTTGTGATTGATGAATAAGATGTCAATAAATATTAATACAGATGCCAGAGATTTTAATGTGTGGTAAAACTCTATATTGTGAGGAGTTATCCTTTAATCCTTCTSTATTAGTTTTGTGTGCAACAACTACTTCTATGATTTCATTGCCTTTGTTCTCATTTATAAATTTTGTGTAACAGCAGAACAGTAAGGGCCTGCTGTTTATACAGCCAGCAACACTTTCTTATTGATAACAGATTACAATCTGTTTTTAAGCAAGATAAAGAATACTTAAACTGCGCTTACATTGCAAATCAGATTCTCATTCTTCTCTTGTGTTCTTCCTTTTCAATGTGTTTATTGGTTAAGAGCTCTCTCGTGTACAGTATTTATTTTCAGAAAACATAAGAAGTCCTATTTCTTGGCAGTGGTGATTACATTTTCTTTTCTTGTGTTTCTAAGAGTTCTTTAGTTGCACAGCTTGAYTGCAGAAGTTTATAAAACATTGATTGGGAAGATCAGTAATAAGCATAGGTAATTATACAGAGCTTTTTCACTGACAGTAACTAGGGAATGTTTTAGTGACTACGTGGTTCTTGTTCTTCAAGGAGCATCTGAGAAAWTAAGATTATTCAGTACATTTAATTTTCTTTTCTGCTACTTAGATAGTTGAGCATTCTGTTGGAATATAAGCAAAAATCCACAAAACAGCAAGGCAGGAATTTCCTTCCAAGTCTTGCTCTATTCGGGAATAGCTAATCTCTGGCCACTGAAATGTATTTCATTTCTTCCAGCTATCAGCCAATAGTGGATTATATTGATGCACARTTTGAAGCCTATCTCCAGGAAGAGCTGAAAATTAAGCGTTCCTTACACAGCTACCATGACACCCGCATCCATGTCTGCCTCTATTTCATTTCACCTACAGGCCATTCCCTTAAAACTCTGGATTTGTTAACCATGAAAAGCCTTGACAGCAAGGTAAGACTTTGAAATGAAGGCAAAAGAATTTGTCATATTTTCTGAAGCCTCTTGCAGCTTCTACATCCTAACTGTATATTTAGAAGTTAAAAGGATAGGGAGATGCATCCCTTTTAAGACAAGGATTAAAAAAAAAAAAAAAGCAACACATCAAGTTAAAAAAAAGCATATAATTTTTGTAGCAAACCATTTAAAATCTTACTGTGATTAAATATCTTACTGTGATTAGATAGAATAGCCTCCACGTGTGCTGTAGGGTGTTTTTTTTCKTGATAAAGCTTATTTCTAGTTCACTATCAAATGTTTGGGGCTGCTGGAAGTCAGCAGGATTTGTTTGGATATGAAACAGTTTAGTAGCACTATGAAGAAGTTTATTACAGTAACTGAAGAAGCAAGTGCCGTGAAGAAAAATAATTCTCCCCGTGTGGCTTTCTCCAAGATAGGCTCAGTCAGTGTTTTAACCTTCATGACTTAATTTGTTTTGAAAGCTTTAAAAGAGCAGTGTTCAGTAACTGTAATTGCTTGCACTTAACAAATTCTTTTTTTTTTTTTTGTGAAATCAGGCTATGTGAAATAGATGAAGCTAAATATTTAACCCATTTTAATGCCACCAATATCATTTGGGTTTAATTTGTTAAAATATTGAAAAATTTGAAAACTTCAATATGTCTCTGGTAAATACATTACCATTTCCTCTGCCTTTTAGTGGAGCTAAATTTTTAGCTCCACTGAATTTTTAGCTTCACTTTTTAGTGGAGCTAAATCCTGCTAAATTTTCCTTGTTCATGAGGTTTTCCTTGAGGATGCGTGTCAGGTGAGCCATCTCTTGCACCTTTGTGCTGCGGAGCACCTTGGGTGTCCCTGTGGTTTAGGTGGCTGGTGACTGTGTGTGCAGGGTGCCACGGCTGCAAGCAGTSCCCTGCTCCCAGCTCTCTCAATAGCACCGAGCAGGGGCAGGAGCAGCGGGGCTGGTAGGGAGGAGCAGGGTGGTTTCTTCCAGCTGTGGTGCTGGTTTATGCCAGCCTAAAATGTTGGTGAAACTACTGTGTCATYGGCTGTGTGACAGCTGAAGAACCTTTATGTGAGACGACGGGCCAGCCTCTTGGAGCGTGTTGTGCCGCTCCAAGGGAGCTGTGAAGCTGGAGGTTGTAGCAAACCACTAAGCTGGTTTCTTGGTTGCCTTAGCTTTTCAGTGAAGACTGAACTCTGAGTGGTGTGTCTCTTCCAAAACAGGAATAAATAGGTCTGTGAGTCGCAGCATCCCAAAGAGCAGACATTCCGTCAGGATAAAAATAAAGTAATTTTGCTGTGTGGAAGTTCAGTTTCTAGCCACCTTTAAATATTTTGGGCTTTCCTTTCGCCCAGGAAGAAGATAAATGGCATGTAACTTTGTTGTTCTCTCCAGTTGCAGTGGATTCTGTGTTCAATCTTACTACCAATCATACCCATATGTATACCGTGTGTGTGTATATATACACACATATATATATATACACAAAAATGAGTGTATATGTATTTACTCTAGTTTGTTTTCTGTCTAATTATGGAATGTGTGTGTGATGCTTTAATTACAGTATTCTCCCGGTGGTCCTTCCAGGATGGGAAATTATCTTGGCTAATTCACTGAGTGCAGTATTCCCTAAAGAGAAGGTGCTGCAGCAGTAAGCTTATATCAAGGGTATAAATCTGCATCAGRTGTTGTCTTCAGTATCTGCTTCCTAAATCAGCTGCAGTGTGTGCTGTGTACTGTGCATTTGTCATGTCTATTTGCTGCAAAACAGRGCCAGATTACGAAGATCAGAGGTAAAGAGGATACTTGGAATAGGGTGAGCTCATCCTGTATTCTGTTTCTAGTCACTGGAGAGAAACAAACATCTCTGAGAGCAATTCATTTTTTCCCGTTGCTTATAAATTTAAAGACTAACCAGCTTGCCATCTAACTTTCAGACACTGGGAAGTAGTTTTGCTCAGGAAAGTAGTTTTTCTTAGGTCTGGAAAGTAGTTTTGCTTAGGGATCAGTAGAGGTCAGCCAGTTTTCATCCAGGKATTAAGGAAATCCACTTCTGTATGTTTTCTTGTTATGAACTAGCAAATATTCATACTAGTGTTTTTGGGTTACTCTTGCAGAATTATGTACAGATCACTAAAAAGTCAGGAAACCAGGTGAGTGTATCTTGTGGGGTTTTGGGTTTTCTTCTTCATGCRTAGTCTTTGGAAATTCTTGTCCTGATTTGTATTTAATGCATGAAAATAAGGAATTTGGAGGGAATCATTCCACCAAAATATTATTCAAACAGAAGATTATGTACTTGAGAGCTTAGTGGAAATCTTAATACACAGATGCCTATAAATATACTTAAACTACCCTGCAAATTATCGACCAGGCATAATTCCAAGTGTATTTTTCCTTCTCTAATACCAAAACATCTGCTGCCTCCTTATGCTTTACTGTAAGATGTGATATGTAAACCTTAATTCAGAGTAATAATATGGTTTCTACTTGCCGGGAAAATAATGATACATTACATTTCAGATAGCAGGCTGRTCAGAGGGCTAGATTTGGTGTTGCACACAGTAGAATAGTGTGCATGGATAAAGTGTAAGGTTTGTCTTGGTGATTTTTGTGTGGTCATTTTAATGAAGCGTGTTTCTGTACTGCTAGTGGATGGGGCAGCCTCAGCTGTTTCTTCCCCTTGTGTGTGTGTGTGTGTGTTCAAGTGTTTTGGGCAACCAGTTAGTTCTCTTGATATGGGAACCTATTTAAACTAAACCCTGAAGATATTTGTGTGGTTAGGGATCTGTTCAAGTAATCTCTGTCCCTACTCTGTTGCACAAACTTAGCTCTACCTGTAAAAGAGCAGCTATGGGAAAGAGAAAGGGCAAGGCTGTTGCTTTTGTTGCGAGAGTGTTTTTATATAGGATTAAAGTGGTTCTGTAATCATGGCGTGCAGTTTTGTAGCAARATTCAGTTTTGTAGCAAAATTCAGTTTTGTAGCAGTGAAAAGTGTTAGCTGAAGATGAGGTTGTGAAGAGTCCGCTGGTTTCAAAGGGGGGAGCACTGGGATTGAGAGGGGATCTGATCAATATGTACAAGTACCTGAGGGGAGAATGTAGGGAGGAAGGGACCAAACTCTTCTTGGTGGTGGCCAGTGACAGGACCAGGGGCAATGGGTACAAATTGAAGGCAGTTCCATCTCCATATGAGGAAGAACTTCTTCCCTGTGAGGGTGACAGAGCCCTGGCACAGGCTGCCCAGGGAGGCTGTGGAGTCTCCTTCTCTGGAGGTCTCCAAACCCACCTGGATGCCGCCCTGTGCCCCATGCTCTAGGTGTCCCTGCTGGAGCAGGGGGTTAGACTGGATGATCTCCAGAGGTCCCTTCCAACCTCAACCGTTCTAGGATTCTGTGGAGGGGTTGGATGTATGGACACCTAACCTGCAGGAAGGTTGCTGTGCCTCTCTTGTGTTGTTTTCACATCTCCCTGTGGCCCAGAATGGGTTGCATTCCCTTGTGGATACAAACGTTCTTGGATGGAAGTACTGAGATAACGCTCTTTGAATAAATCTTAGCTGTTACAAGCAGAAATAAATGTTGTTTAAAAAATTAAGCAAWCTTTAAACTTAGATATAACTTTTGCTTCTAAAACCAGAGGAGTATTGCTTTCAGATTTTAGTAAAATGGTTTATTTTGCATCAGTCTTAAAGAGCTATAAGCGGTTCATGGTGATTTTGTTTTTCTTTTTTACTTGTCTCCTGAGTAGTTTTTCTATTATTCACTGTGCAAGTGCTTTTCCAGTTAATTATTGTTTAGGAAACTTCTGTGTTGACGTCCTAAGACAGAGCGAAGGTTAATTTATGTCTGAGGGCTCTGTTGTGCGTCCAGATTTAAAGCTGTACCGTGGAAAACCTAAATTACAGATAGAACATATACTTTAAAAACTTACAAAATCTTGCAGTTCGTTTGCCTGGATTGGGCTTTTTAATTTTAAGCAAGATATCTGCACTGGAAGAAATTGGGGCAGAAAGAGCCATGGGGTGGGGAAAATAAAAGAATTTTGAGGATTAGGTGCTTTTCATTAAAAAAAAAAAAAAAAAGGTTTGTTTCATTTTAATGTTATCAAATTTGATAGAATATTTATTCAACCATAACATCATGGCTTTTGCATRGAACCATTGTTATGGAGGCACAAACTTAGTTTTCATTAAATATTCCTGAAATATTGATATGATAGACTATGATCTATCTTGCAAGTATTTGTCAGCATAAGTAGTTACCTTGCCAAGAGACTTATTAGTTCTGTGAGGGACTTGGTGCCTATTGTGCTAAAACTTTTTTTTTTTTCTCTTGAGACGTGGTTTAGTGTTTTGGGAAGAATCTTCATACTGTGTTTGTTTACAAAAATCAGTTAGTGAGATTCCATGACTGGGTTTTTATGCTCAGACAGAATACTCAGAAGAATAAACGGAATGTGCACGTGGTGGGTTTTGGTTGGTTTTGCTTTCCTTTTTGCATTTATCATCAAAGAAGTCTGGAAAAAAGTGTCTCTTGAAATCTGGAAGAGTTGTTTGTGGCGTTAAACCTGCTAARATATTTGGCCACTAATTCTTTGAAATGAAAGTTGTGTATCTTGGAGTGATGATAGAAAGGCAGGAGATGCCAGAGTATAATTAAAAATGATAATTTTATTGTTTATTGTCATCACTGCAACTTGCTGTAGTAGGATTGAATTTGCATTCTGAATATTTAGGGTAAAAACTGGTGAGGAAGATGCTTGAGTCTTCGTCATTCCTGCATGGTACACGCAGGTGGGAGTGAAACACACTSCTGTGCTGGTGTCTAGGCTAAGAGCTGTGGGGAAGAGTGGTGAGATGAGGAAGATGTTACAGCTGAAAGGAAGCCAAGAAGAGGTTTAGTGGCTAAGCTGGTGGTGCTTGCAGCTTGCTTTGGCTTGTGTGTTTAAACCACTGATTTTCACTTAGAACCTGAACCACATCCCCCAAATCTATAAAGCAAATATATTTAKAACCCTGTTAAACATAGTGTTTGGGGGCATTTAGTTAGTAAATAGGTGCTGCTGCTCTTTGCTTGGACTACTCCCTGTGTGAGACCTTCTTTTTTTTCCAGAGCGGTTAATTCTGAGCAAGTTCACTAAACCGTGYGGCGTTGCTTTGTGCCAGTGATGCCAGTGAACAGAGGGTGCAGGGAGTGCGAAGTTTCTTGGATTGCTTATGAAACCCATCAGTTATCAACCGAAGAGGAAGTTCTAAAGAGCTTCTTGCCAAACACTTTAATGCATCAACTGCCACCTCGATACCGAAGCCTCACACGTGTCCTGGATTTCTGTCATTAACAGGTGAACATTATACCCATCATAGGCAAAGCAGACAGCATTTCTAAAACGGAGCTGCAGAGGTTCAAGGTCAAACTCATGAGTGAACTGGTTACTAATGGTGTCCAGATCTACCAGTTTCCAACMGACGATGAAACCGTTTCTAAAATCAATGCCATCATGAATGTGAGTAAATGGCTACAGCATTCATATTTTTGTTCTGAAGCACCATCCTTATTGCAAAGTTCTGTCTGCTCTTTCATGATGATTTTGAGGCTTATGGTTTTGCATTTGTAACAAGCTGCCTGTTTGTTTTTCTCGGTCCTTATGCTTGAGGAAAAGCTCATTTGTTCTTATGTTCCTTCCTCATGAGTCCTCGTATCCCTCTGCTGTTGATCTTTCACATTTTAGGAAAATTTTCTYATTTTTTTGCCTTACAACAGAAAAGTAAAGATCCCACTCAAATTATTTTAACTTCTGGTTAATCAATGTATAATTCTTAATACAGACAGACAGGTTGACTTTGCTCTTTTCCTTAGWGAAGACTACCTTACATCTGTTAGGGAAGATATTCATGTCACTCATTTCTCTGTTTTTCACTTATCTATTTTTTAATGATGGTGAGTCTTTTTTTTCATCTGCTTTTTCCTTTGTTACTTTCTTTCCAGATTTTCTTCAGGGATAAAAAGTGAGATACCATTCTCATATTATTGTTGTTTTTTAAAGAACTGTTTTGCATCCAGATTGCCTCAGCAGTATCTGTCAGCTTCAACCAGGCTTGTGAAGCTACTCGCCTTCCTCCTGAGCACGCTGCTTGAATTGCACACACGTCTGTGTGCGTGTGTTCTCATCTTCAGTTTCAAAGCAGGGAGAAGGACCTGGGGTGCAGATGTACAGGGACCTGCAATCCAAGCCTCTCTGTCACTTGTGGGTAGTCTGTTACTGTGAGAAAGTGTTCTTTTATTTTTTTCTTTTTCTTTTTTTTTTTTCCTGCAACTTGGCCAAATCTAATGATTTCTTTTCCAGTTGATGGTATTTTCTCTTTGGACGGTAGTTGTGTGTCAGCCAGGCAGTACCCAGGTTGTATTTCTGGCCACTTTACAGCCCCCACTACCAGTGGCAGTGCCTGTGGTTGTGTCATGGCCCTTACTGGTGCCTTTAGCTTTGGTCACACAAGTTCTAGAGTTTATTTACCAACCTTTTCCATTCAGAGCATGATGAGGGCCCTTCTCACACTCTTGACAGGCTGGGACTTCACCAAATCACAGAATAAGGTTGGAGGGACCTATGGAGGTCACCTAGTTGAACCCACCTTGCTCAATAAGGGTCACCAAGAGCAGGCTGCCCAGACCATGTCCAGACAGGTGCTGACTGTCTCCAAGGAGGGAGACTCAGCAGCCTCTCTGGGCAGCCTGTTCCAGTGTCTGACCACCCTCCCAGTAAAAAGTTCTTATGCTTAAATGGAATTCGCTGTATTTCGGTATGTGCCTGATGCCTCTTGTCTTTCCCTGGGCCCCACTGAGAACAGTTCGACTCTGTGATTTTCACTTTCCCCATCAAGTACTTGTGTACAGATACCTTTTCTCCCCTGTACACTCTCCATAGCACTGTTTCTAGGAGAGACAGTCCCAGTCCTCTCAGGCTCTTGCCATATTTGAGATATTCCACTTCCTTAGTTTTCTTGAGGTCCTCTGCTAGATTTGTTCCAGAGTGTCCATATGTCCCTTGACCTGGGGAGCCCAGAACTGGACCCAACTCTTCCAGACATCCTTCCAGAGGGGAAGGATCACTGCCCTCAACCTGCTCTTGGCTCTTCCCAGTTCATCCTGGATGCTGCTGGCTGCCTTTGCCACAGCAGCACATTGCTGGGTCGTGCTCAACTTGCTGTCCATCRAGACAGTCAGGGCCTTTCTGCAAAGCTGGAKTCCAGCAGGTTGGCCTCAGCCGGGACTGGAGCATGGAATTATCCTTCCTTGGATGCAGGACTTGGCATTTCCCTTTGCTGAACWTGGTGAGGTTCCTGCCAGCCCATTTCTGCAGCCTGTCCCTGTCCCTGTGAATCACAGCACAGCATTTGCTGTCTCATCCACTCGGTCCAGCTTTGCATGGAAGTTTGACTTCTCTATCAGTAGCTTGATTAGCTACTCATCTATTTGTATGGTTTTTTTTCCAGCTTGAGACTGCTTTATTGCTACAATCTTTGAACTTTCCTGAAAGATGTTTTTCTTCCTCCAGTTTTTCAACCATAAGATTTGCTACTCTTATGTAAGAATGCTAAGAGAGAAAACTCTATGGGTGTAACTTTTTCAGGGACATTTACCATTTGCTGTAGTAGGGAGTACAGAAGAGGTGAAGGTTGGAAACAAAATGGTGAAAGCTCGTCAGTACCCTTGGGGCATCGTGCAAGGTAAAGGAATTCTCTCTTTTTTTTTTTTAATGAGAATTAACTTCTTCCTTAAATAAAAAAAATCACCAAAACTAAAAAGGAGGATGTATATTTGCCAGTCTGCCACATTGTTTGTATTTGCATCAACGGTTTAAAGGATTTAACAATTAATATTGGAGGTGTGTGGTAGCTGGTAGCTTCATCAGAACACTTTTGGAATCAAGCTGTGAAATGGCATGTGCAATACTTGGGTAAGTTAGTATTCTAGAAGTAGCGCTAAAGGTACTGAATTTTAAAGATTTTTTTTCATTGTTAGAATGCAGAACCAAAACCAAGAAGTTTATCATTCAACTCAACAGGAAATCATGAAATATTGGGTCATACTCAAAAAATCTTAAATTTAGTGCTTACATGTGAATATAGATATTAAGATGAGGCTGAATATAAGTATTCCGTTGTTTATTTTCTTTGCAGAAAGTATATTCAGTTAGCAAAATAAAGCAAATCCAGTGCTTTTTAAAATGCATTTTCCTAGTTTTGCTGCTTGCCCATAATAATCAAATCTCCTGCTTTTAACTGAGCAGTGGAAAATGAGAACCACTGTGACTTTGTCAAGCTTCGTGAGATGCTGATTTGCACCAACATGGAAGACTTAAGGGAGCAGACCCACGCACGGCACTATGAGCTGTACAGGCGCTGCAGGCTGGAGGAGATGGGCTTCAGGGACACCAGCCCCGAGAGCAAACCAGTCAGGTGAGGGACTCCCATGCCTCAGTATCCATTCAGTTCACATTTGCCTCTATCARCAGGGGGTAAAGTTCATACGTAGAAGAGTTTTTCCAGGGAGAAGGAATTGGTTTTGTAGCAGAGTAAGTGTATTTCCACTCACTCRCCTATACTCCGCACACTGGTCCATCAAGATAAGAGCATTGCTTTTGAAGACATACAGACTAATATTTCCAAAATAATACTGTTTTATAATAAAGCTAAGGATTTTAATTTTCATTATGGAGAATGTTTACCTTCTTTAGAAACATATATTTTATGCCTTTTAATAACTTTCATCACATATTAGCTTGCTGTTTTTACTTTTTTAATTGGAGTCAGAGTTCAGAAGGATCCCAAGCAAAAACTTTTACCAAATCTTTGGTTACATTGTTAAATTACCACCTTGTCTGCCATAATGCCAAATGTCTAACTTGACTTTTCAGATCAAGAAATGCCTTGTTAGACTGTACAGAAAGTTAATTCAAAAGGAAAGTAAGGAAAGGCACAGAGACACTTAATGGTTTCATGTAATAAAGCTGCTTTCTGCAGGAGATATTTACTATTTTTGTATCTGGCCATGTAATGTTTTATTACCAATTCTGTAACCTCCTGAATTCCAGCTACTCTCTTCCAGCTACTTCATGGTTGTTTCAGCTGTTAAAGCAGGACGGTCAATATGTATCACCGAGAAGTACCTAAGGCTACTACACTTGGAAGGTCCGTGAGGATACTCCCCACAAGTCAGGAGGGGCACAGATTGTACAGCTAAAAAGGTGTAAGGACATAGGCAGAGTTTTGGGGTATTGCATTCTTTGGATCAAGACTACCAGAACATAAAATGCCATCCACAGAAATGAACGCTAATAATTCTGTTGGCACAGAAGCGTTGGCATAGATTCATTATGGTTGGAAAAGACCTTGGACATCATTGAGTCCAACCATAAGCCTCTCAACACTATACCTGTTAAACCATGTTCCTAAACCATGTGCCATGTCCTGTTGCTTCAGAACACCTTCTTTACATTGGGATTTTGTTTWAAAAAATATATAGTTATGTTGGATAACTGAGTAATAGTAATAATTAATATAATCTGAATTCTTGGGAGGTTATAAACATAATGAATCTCATTCTTATACCTTTTACAAACAATGTACAAAATTTTTTTTTTCCACTAAAGAAGTCATGTTAAGCCATGTAGTAGGATTTTCCAAAAGATATTAAAGATTATTGCAATAGTCCTGGATCCAAGCCAGTATCAGCAAGAGATAATTGATGAGATACTCAGAATGAGAAAATTTGGGGCACAGATGAATATGAATTTAGGCATCAAGAGGGCTCTAGGTCAAAACAAACTTCAGTTTGCCTAGTAACTTTAGATGTTTGCAAAGGAAGAGAGGATTATTACTGCTTTACAGTAGGACATTTTGAAARTCCTTTTTTAYTTTTKATTTTTTTAAATCTAATCTCTTTTATTACTGAAGAAAACATTCTTCCCTAGAAAGAAGAAAACTGAAGGGCCAGGGTCTGTTGAAAATAGGCGAAGATTAATATTTATGTGTATACTTCTTCATTTGGATTCTCTGATGTTAATCATTTTCTACCTATTTCTCTGGGTTCATAATCATGATTTGCTCATCATAAACTTCTCAGTTATTTGAACTGGTACAGAATGCACCCAGTTGTGGCTATCACTCTGTGCTTTAATTTTTCCCCAAAATTGTGTATTCAGACCTTGCAGTTCTCAGGAAAAAAAACATGTTTATTCTTCAGCCTGTACKATGAAGGAAAACAGGAAGAATTCAGGAACATCAGTACGCTGAYGTGTAGAGGAAGACTGATATAACTGTAGCTGCCCTAAGAACGGAAACTAGCATATTTAAAAGAGTATTAAAACTTTTCCTTAACAGGTCAATTTAGGAATGAAGACCATTTGACCAAGTATAACTTTTGCCTTTGAGCCAAATATTTTAAGCTCCTTATAGTAAGACTGAACCCCATCCAAATTGCCTCTTTTCCAAATCTTTAGGGGAAAAGTGGCATCTATTTGGATCTGCCACATCCTAAGTGTCCTATATAGCAAATTTGGAAGGCCACTGAGTCAAGGAATTAAAAACTATGCTAAAAATACCTGTCACCGATTAAATTATCCTTTTTTTTTGGTCTGATATACCTTAAGTAATCTTGGAATGTTATGCAAAATTTTCAGATTTCGTTTTTAAGTAAACAAGCTAAGAAATGATGTTCAAGTATCTGTCTTGGTGAATTCTAATGGTACAAACCAAATTGCCCCCAATATGCAACATTGCCTTCCTGTGAGAGTTGAATTCAGTTAAACCAGGGATTTAATTTATGAACAGAACTTGTTTGATTTGCGTCTTTGTTTTTAGGCATCCATGTCCTAAATCTCACACAGATAGGAAAACCGTTTGTCACAGCTATGCTTCTCTAGAAAGGTAGGTGCTAGTGCTGCTGTGAGGTACGTGATAGATTAGTAAGGTGTAAGCTTTCCTCAAAATCCCTTCTCCCCCTTACTTCAGAACCTCTGTAGGAGTAAATTACCTTAAATCTTTTAACTTTTTAGTTTTGCAAATGGAGTAGTACAGAGTATAGAGTTCTAGGGACCCAACACAGAGAGTGAGAGTCCCTGTAAACTTGTCTTTCTTGATGTGCTGAGCAAAGAGCAGTGAAACCGGCCTTGGGAGAAGTAAAAAGTCTTCCACTGTTTGCAGTATATGCAGTTATGTTGAAAGGATAGTGTCAGCCTAAATTCTCATCAACAGTAAACTGCCCCCTCTTGAAATGGAAGGATCTTCAGATTATTATGGTGCTGATATGCAAATTTTAAAGGTAAAATGTGTGGTTTCTTCTTTCCCATGATTTTCAAAACATTTCAGTGCAGGGGAGGGGAGAGAAAAAAAGTAAATAATTTTTTTTTTCTTCTCTATACATGAAGTCTGATTACTTAGTAAATTCAGTGTCTGAAATGTTAATCTGATAGTAATTTCAAAACGGGCCCATTGTTACTTCATCCTGATAAACTGGCTTAGCCTGAGTCTAAAGGTGTCCCTAAAATGAAAAGCAGGTGGGATTGCAGTGTGTTATCCTAGCCTAGCATTGGCTTTAGCAGCATATTAGCAGTCACAGGGGCTGAAAATGTGTGTAGGGAGGCTGCCAGCACCTGAAAAGCCTGTGCTACAAAGCCTTGCTGTTGTGCATATGCTGCTTAAACTTAAAGGTAATGTGACTAAATATACCTGTCTGAAAACTTACCCTCACTTCACCTGATAGTTAGAATGCAAGGCTTGAGCAAATTCAGCTCAGAGCTCATGAAGTAGATTGGTCTTCTGAGCTTGTTTAACCATGATGTCTGGCTCCAGTAAGATAGGACAGGAAAGGGGCTCTGACCTTGAAATCTTGCAAAATTTTAAGTTAAAGAAATTTCAAGATAATTCTTCTCTCTTTTTAGATTTTATTTTGAATAAAAATGAGTAACTTTAAAATTGGGAAATTTTGTCATAAATTGAATTATGACAATAATTCAATTAGAGAGAATTCAATTAAGAGAGAAAAAAAAATCACCTTACTGTTTACTGAAATCATGAAGCTTTTGCATGCTCTGTTCCATATTTTTTCTGTTTATAAAGTTAATAGAAACAGTTAAAGATAACACTTTAAAAATCGGTATGAAAGTGTGTGGAGGTATGTGAGTGTGCATGTATGTATGTTCATAAGATATTTTAATTTCCATTTTAAGTATATCTAAATACATTTAAAATCCATTACAATTTAAAATATTTACTGCATAGTTTTTGCATCAGAGTGGAAGGCATGAGGTAGCTGAGCAAGGGTGATAGCTAGAAGGATAGCTAGTCAGCATCTGGGAAATGGAAATGGGAAGAAGGGGACCAGAAATAGCCCCAGAATAAGGGGTGAACACTGCTATTATCTCAGTCCTTTTGTAAGCGTTATTTCCTAGAAGATACTGAACAAATTTCTTTTGTTTTTCTAAATTATAACCATTGGTTGGTCCTGATCCACCAATTCTGTTCCTGTGAAAGCTTCTGACTTAAAAAGTCAGAAAGAAAACTAGAGTAAGAAGTTTAGAGTAAAACTAAGTAAGAAAGAAAACTAGAGCTTTTTCTAACAGCTTTGCAGGGGTAGCAGTGGTAACAATAACAAGAAATATTTGAATAAATTATCAATATCTGTCAATTTGTTAGGTAGCTTTGATATGAAAATTCTTCAATTTCCAGCATGATTTTTTTGAAGGAAAACAAGTACCTTGCATATTGAAATGAAGAGTATCCTTTTTTAAAAAAGGAATGTGAACAGAGGCACAGACTTACAAATAAAGGTATTTTTTAATTACTTGCCATTTTGATATGCTGCCAGATGTTGGCTCAGTGACCTCGATTAATTTACATATACATAGCCCCAAATATAGATATGGTAAGTATGGAGTACTTTGGATTTATGAGAGGGCATTCTGAAGGAAACAAGCAGTCTTGGGGTTTTTGACTAATGCTGGAAAGTAAGTCCATCTTTGAAATATGGAACTATTTAGGAAATGGTATTTGTTATATATTTATGCAACTCTGCCATGTTTAGATTCTGTGATTATGGAAGAACTGGYGTATGTATTTTAAAGGTCTCATTCTTTGCTTTTTCATATGGAAACAATCGATGTGTTAGTTGTGTTAATGCTCAGATACTTTTTTAACATTGTATTTTAAGTTCAGGGATTTCACAATGTGGAAGTTCTTGGGGATTTTTCTGGCAATTTAATTGTCTTGTTAACAAGTAACTTGAAGCAAAAGGTTACCCATGTTGGAGGCAGAAAGTTGTAACTCTGAATTTTAGAAGCTGAGATTTCTACAATGCTATGGTTAGAAATGTAGATTTCTTGGGAGCTGATATTTTAAATAATATTATTCGGGGTGGTTTACTTGAGCAAAACTTACAAAGATAAGATCCTTCTTCTGGTTAGGTTTGTTTATAACTTTTTTTTTTTATGTAGGAAACTGTAGATGTTTATATTCCCAATGTGTATATTTCTGGTTAATATAAATTGTTTAATGAGTGCSCCAGATTGGGTTTTCCACACTGAACAAAGCAGTGTCCTGGAGCCTTGTTTACATTTTTGGACTTCAGCCTACAGGAGGCCTATGAGGCGAAGAGGCACGAGTTCTACGTGGAGATGCAGAGGAAGGAGGAGGAGATGAGACAAGTGTTTGTGCAGAGAGTGAAGGAAAAAGAAACAATATTGAAAGAAGCAGAGCAAGAAGTAAGCGTTTATTCCTGTCTGTCTGGAGTTGGTGCCCTGAGAGCTGGAACACTTAAGTTGAGYGCTTTGGAGAATCACAGCGAGCCAAGATTTATGATTTCCTAATATTTAAATGGCAGTAGTGCGTAGAGTCAAGAGGAGGTGGATTATGCAATGCTAGATGCAAACAAGTAATCCTCTTCTGGAAGGAGGGAGCTTGTGCTCTAAAGGGGTGGTGGATAGATGGGAAAATGTGGTGGATGGGGAAAAAACTGGGGTCACAGGAGAGGGGTAAGTTGCAAAGTTGTGTTTTTCTTAGTCTTCTTTTTCTCAGTAGGCTAAAAGCCACTGGTAGAGCATGTCTGCACAGTAGGTAGGCAGTGTGTAGGCACAGTAGGGGAAGGCTGCTGGAAGAACAGCTATGTACTGGGGCTCCTAAAAAGGGCAYTTTTACAATTGTTTGCAGGTTAAGCTGGTCTAGTTATTATAATATTAAAAAGTTGTARTTTTCTTTGTATGTTATGGTACTGATTAAGTTCTGTGTTGAGGGTTAAAAAAGAAAAAAGCACCATGACATCTACTGTCTGAGATTTCCCTTCTTCTATCCCTCATCTCATGAGGGATTGATGCCCTTCTCACCTRCAGAGTGAAGAAGGATTCAGTGTTGGAAGGCAGTGGTGGATGGGACAGTGGGGCATGTACCCTTGTGTGACTGCAGCTTCAGTTCCTTAATACAAGGTGCAGCTCTCGTGCTGAGAGGTTGAATGATTTCTTTCTTAATCTTACTTRTTCCCAAACAGCCTATGCGTTTTAGCAGCCAGTGAAAAATCCCACCATGCTGCACCTTCTGAATTCATGTTTAATAAGAAAATATGTCAAATACCAGGCAATGTGGAACATATCCTGAATCTGTTGTTGAAGATTTGGTCCTATCAAGCTTGACTGGCAAAGCAGGATTTTCACATCTACTTCYTGCCAGACTTTAACATGGTCGTGCATATTTATATTCAGACACTGGGTTAGTTAGAATGGGAGAACTGTATATATTTATTATCATCCATTTCTGTACCTCGGTCTCCCAGCAATGTTGTAAGTGTTCTGTGAGGTGTGTGGATGCATGTTTTAAATGTGAAGAGGGTTTAATGATTATTTTTCTAGATCTGTTGAGTTGACTGGAGAATGAAAGCAGATCCAGTCCTTGTCACTGTGGGGATATCTAATAAGAAGAGTAATTGCCCATGTTCAGAGTAGGTTCACTTGAGTGTTATGCAGGGCTTGCAATACTCCTCAGTATCTTCTGCCTGTCATTTATATCAGGTGATTTCTGTGAGCTTTAATCACTTCATTGATAATCATTTCTTTCTGGAGGACTGTTTATTTTYGTTCTGATGAACATATATCCCGTAGTAAATCTAATAACTCACTTAGTGATTTCCACGGTTTCCACCTTTGCTTTATGTGAAGTAGCCTGGCCTCCAAAATGAAGATTATCATTTTATAATTGGTTGTTTTTATGGATTGCTCTTTTTTAGTCTTCATAACTGCCGTTTCCTGTAACTTTTAACCCAAGTTCGGTAGCTGTTACTGCTTTTAATCTTAGTGTTTTTACATTGTGGTATCACCACCTTGTGTAAGTAGCTGGAAATGCACTTTCTGTGCTTTCTCTCAACAGATACAAGCTAGATTTGAACAACTTAGGCGACTGCACCAAGAAGAGAGACTGAAACTAGAGAGAAACAGAAGATCTCTGGAAGATGAAATGGCTTCGTTTATTAAGAAGAAAGCTGCTGCTGAATTACTGCAAACACAAACGTTGCTCTCTACACCGATGAGTTTGAAGAAAGACAAAGACCGCAAGAAGTAAGTGCTCATGCTGGGCATCGGGGTACCAGCAAAAGAATCTTGCTTCACTTTTAAAACATGCATTTTAGTGACTTCTAGAAAAGATGTAAAAGTGTTTATATTCTGTTATGTGATAAAAGGGGAGAAGTAGGTGAAAAAATATCATCATACTTGAATCACTGGTTCTAAAATTTAATTTAATTTAATAATTGCTGTGTGTTCTATGAACATTTTTTCTTTTTCCATGAAGGGACCAAGGTTTCCGACTTGAACTCCTCTGCTTTGATGTCAGAGATGAAGAAATTGTGAAAGTGCATGACCAGAGTGAGAGGGAGAAGTTAGAGAGGGAGAGGAACTCACCCAGGGAAATCCAGAAATAGTGTTTGAATGCAGTACTCAACTCCTGAATGTAGGATATATTAGTTTCCTGAAACAATCTGCTGCTGTCCTATAACCATAGTTATATCTTCCTATTACAGAGTTTTGAGAGGAGGGATTGGTAAAATTGCCTTTAGAATTGCACTGAATAGTGAATATGACTGATGTCCATCCTCAATATAACTTTTTTTTCCCCGCTTTTCCCCCCAAAGAAAAGGTTTAGTTAATGGTAAAATTTTAGAAATATGTTTAAAAGTAGTCTTCAGAATAAATGTCCATTTTTCTCCCATACAGTTATTGAGTTGAATGAAAAGGAAAAAGTAAATAAAACAAGAAAAGAAGCAAATATTTTCCATTTTTGGTAGATTACAACTTCACGAGAGATAATATTTTCTTGATTAATGGCTTACTGCAGCTGAAAGCAGATTTTTGATGCAGAAATTAAGCACAACTGCTTAAAAGTGAAAAATTTTATAAGCTACACATGTGCACATATTTCACAAATGCCGTGAAGTCAGATGTGAGGTTTTTGGGGGTGTGTGGTAGCAGACCATCTTGTGGGCTTACTAAAACTTGTTGTGTTTCAGGAGGTGATACTAAGTTCCTTTTCTTAGAACCCTTAATAAAGGTTCATACGTGAAAGTGTAACCCTTAGTAATGATAGTCATAGCACAGTGACCTTCAGTTTTAGAGGACTTTTAGATTTATTTCCTCTGCTTTAGCTTTATTTCTTCAGAGTATGTTGTAGTTAATATRTTTTGTTTTTGTTTTTCATTTCCAGCTTTATGTAATACTGATGACAGAAGAAACAAATGTTGATAATTTCTCTAAGGATGATAAGATTCAGCGGGCTTGTGAAGGGAAAGGAAGTACTGTTTTTTACTGAAAGAATTTGGAAAATGTCTGTTATATCTGCAGGCTGCAGGAGAAGAAATTTTAAGTACRTGTGCATGTGGTGCTGTGATTACTGTCCCATTAATGCATCTTCATGGACTTTCTATTATATAACTGTTAGGCACTTGCTTTACATGTATGTGGCCAAATTATATTCCTTTTTTATGCATTTTACCAAAGAAAATGTCCGTGCCATAAACTGTTTCACTCATAATATGAATTCTATAGTAAGAAGTATCCAGTGAATATATATCTAATATAACTTTTCTAAAGAGTTATTTTTATATGACACGGTATGTTAATCTACTAAATAGTATTTAATGTAATTCAACCACTTACTGATTTTGCTGACAAGGATTTATTTGTAACCTTATAAACAAGCACTGTCCTAATTTTTGGATATAATCTTCCTAATGAAAACTGATCAGATATTTTTGCAGTGATGCTGTATTACATGATAGTTTATCTGACATTGCTAGTTCAGTTTGGAAAATATCTACAACTTACTGCTTGTGACTTTGTGGTCACATCAAGAGGCTAAGTTTTACAAAAAGCATTATCTTCAAGAGATTCAGGTTAAAGCAAATTTAAAATAGTTCCTGTATTTTTAATAGTTAAAATAGTTAAGTAAAAGTAAAGTAAGTAAAAACATTCTATAAAAGGTGTAGTTCTCTGAATTTGTTTTGTATGACTGCTTTTAAATAAAATATTAACTTGAGAGAAATAAGACACRGTGGCTTTACCTGTTTCTGTTGTTCTTCCTCATGTCCTACCTTCACAATTAAAAACAGAATAAGCATTCATGCTAAATTAGAAAGTGTAAGTGAATGTTATTTGTAACAGCTCTCTCTCTTGTTACTGGTGCAGGTAGCTGCCTAGGGCGTTTGGGACAGGGGAGGGTTAGATGGAGTTTGCTAATCCAGTTGTAGCACAAAATGACCTGGGAGAGACAGGGTTTTTCTCTTGGAATGACAACTCATTCAAGTGTCAGAGCGTTGGCTGTGGGGATGGGAATTGCTGTAGTTACTTTGCACATATGGCTGTGCCTCCCACCCCGCAGGTGCTGGCCGGGCATGCAAGTGCACATCACAGCCCAGCCGTCAAATGGAGCTCGAAGAATGATGAACAAACAACTGAAAATATCTCCTCAACAGTAAGAATTAATAGTGGCTGTAAATCAGAGCTCRTGTGCCTCACTGTAGTTAATTTAAAAAGCTCTGTGTTTTTTAACCGAGCACTTCTGAGGGGTTTATTCTGCAGATAAAATGTTTTCAAGACAATTTTTTAATGTCTCTTTGTTGTTTATGCGGTACCTTCCGTCATGTATTTTGTAAACTCATTTGTGACTGTGCCTTTAAATAACGTTGCCATGAGAAGACAAGGCCAGGGTGCATTAATATTTTTATCTTCATCTCCTACAATTGACAGTATTGCATTTTTTGCCAACATGTTTGGCAGCAGAACCGTGTTTACAGTTGCGTTATGAAATTGCATAGAGAAAGAGGCTTCAAAAATGAATTAACTTGGAYTGGACTTAACTGCTTCACTGCGCCTTAATGGAAACAAGAGCTGTTTCCATAACACTCATGAGTCTCTATGCAGAAAAGAAAGTACGACACAGAAAAATGATTGATTTTTAAGACATTTTAGAAGACTTGCATAATTCACATTCAGTGAGTCACTTCAGGAAGTAACGTAACTCAAGTGAACTATGTACACAGGATTTCTGTTCTTCAGTGTTTTTTTAAATCTAAACCTTAGCACCAAGGCAGCAAAACAGTGAGAGATCTGTACGGATGTTTTCATGGTTGTAAACCAAAAAAGGGACTTCATCAGTATTTTCACTAGGGTGCGCTCAAAAGACATGGCTTTTCATGTTTTTCAGCTATGACTAGCAAGTTACGTAAGGAAGAATGTGCTTAACTAGAGAGGATAAAAGAGTAAGAGAGGCAATTTCCTAGGCTGTTTTCAGACTGTGATCGACTGCTTTGAGACTATCAAGATGGCTCAGAAACAGGCATGTATTTTAAGAGGAAATTTTTATTAAAGCAGCCTTCTGCTCTTAAGCCTGAAAGCCTGTAACAACATAACCAGCTTGGTGGGTCAGGGGGAGCTTTGGCTGTTGCTCATTCTGACCTTAGCAAGGCCGGACACTGCTGTGGCTGCTGGAATTTCAGCTTGTGCCATCGGCCCAAGAGGGGCCTCTGAATCTGCCTCTCAGATAAAAGTCTGGCAGGGTGATGCCAGGCTATCAAGATGGCTCAGAGAGCAGGAATGTGTTTTAAAATGGAATTATTAAAGCAGTATTGTTTTGTCTTTGGAGTTTAAAAGGAGGGAGTTCGGTGTTTTGTTTTTTTTCCCCCCCTCACAAGCTTTTTAGAGAAAAAAACATCTCTTGGGCAGGTTGTTGTGTTTTCTGACTGCTTCTCAATGTTCAATATATTTATTCTCCCAAAATATATTAAAAATGAGACRATAGTGTTAGTATTTACAGATGAAAGATGAGACCATGGGTAGGGCTTGGATTTTTAAACATAATTAGTTTTCATTTTTATTATTTACACCCACTCAGTGAGAATGAGACACCCAAGTTAATCCATCATGTTTTTTTTTTTTAAATGCAGCATTGTCCACACAAAATCTGCAGCAAAAGTGTCATCCCCCAAACTTGTATGTAATTCCCAAACCGGCTGTTGTTTTGATGGATTGTTGCTAATAAAACTGAGGAGCTTTTGTGGGAGGTGAGCTATTCTGCGTAAAGTATGCAGTGATCCTGAGAGGAGAAAATGAACAAACTTGTGTAAATATCAAATTTTACTTGTTGCTGCAGTATGGATTTAGCGCATTAAATGAAAGGATTCCCGCAGGAACAAGGCGCCAGGGCTGGTGGACAGGACCATGGGCTGAAAGTCAGGAGCACAAARAAGAGGAGACCCCTTCTCGCATGGATCTCCCGGTCTCCACACCAGGTTTCCCTTCCCAGGGCGTTCGCAGCTCTGCTCAGCCTGGCCCTGGGCTGCTGGAGCCCCCAACGGCGCCCAGCCTGAGCTCTGGCCCCACAGGCCCCGCTTTGGGGAGGCCGAGACGCTGTCCAGCCAAATGGAGGTATCTAGACACAAACTCTTTTTTTTTTTTTCTTTTTTCTTTTTCCTTTTTCTTTTTTTTTCCTTTTTATTCTTTTTCCTTTTTTGCCCCCTTTTCCCCCCTTTTTCCTTTTTTCCTTTTTCTTCTTTTTCCGTTTTTCTCCCCTTTTCTTTTTCCTTTTTCTTTTTTTCCTTTTTCCTTTTTTCATTCTCTCTTTTTCCTTTTCTTTTTCATTTTTTCTTCTTCCTTTTCCACTTATTTCTTTTCCCCTTCTATTTTTCTTCCCCCCCCTTTTTTTTTGCCTTTCCCCCTTTTTTGAGCTCTTTTGTTTTTTCATCCTCCTTTTTTTTCTCTTCCTTTCCACGAGCATGCAGACAAGAAAGACTAACCTCATGCACACATAGCAGAAGTGAAGACCTGAAGCCCAGTGACTGGCTGCCTCCCCTGGCACAGTGACACGACTGTCCTGAGGGGCCACAGGCAGTGCAGAGCCGGGCAGAGTCTCAGTTCCCTGCCTGGAGWGTCCTTAGGACACACGTGAGATGAACCTCTACTCCTTAGGACACTGCAGCCTGGTGAGCCCCGTTTCAAGTTTGCCAGCAAAATGAATGTTTTCTCAGTTATCTTCGAAGAAAGGAGGAAAATGCTAATTAAAAGACTGCATAGTATTTCTCTTGGAATACAAGGAAATACCCAAACATTCAGATGGGGTTGGAAGAGGCTCAGCTTATAAATCCACTCATTCTAAATATGGTGATGGAAACTGTGGATCATAAAATCCTGAGGGCACTGCTGATAGTATTCCTGGAAAGTGGAATGTAATTATGGTCGATGAAACAGCAGATTTCCCGAAGTAGTGCTATTATGCCAGCAATGTGTTTTGAATAAGTGGTACTTTGTCTGTGAGGTCCAGAGCGTTCCTCAAGAGTTTCCGTTGATGATTTAATGCAGTTGTATATTGGCAGAGATGACTGTATCAATAAATAAAGATATTGCATGTGAGCTGTAAATTAGCAGTTGCTGCAAACAGTTGGCTGTGATTGCTGCCAGGAGAAGCATGCAAATAAATGCAAATAAAAGAGTTATGGGCTAGTGTGCTCATTGCTAAAAAACATGTTTTGGAAATTTGCTGGACAGGGTGTTAAAAAACCCCGAATCCTTAGARTCCTGTGAGTTTTTCTAGCAAAAAGCAAAACAGATAGCAGTATTAACTTCAGGTTTTGAGAGCAGCCTGGTATCCTATGCAGCACTGATGAGGCTGATGCATTGGAAAAAGAAATAGTTCACATCTGGCAAGAAATTAAGGTGAGGAATCCTGAAAACAGTGAGCAGACCATTCGAAACTCCGCTGTGGTCAGACCTGTCACTACCTGAAGGCTGCTCTCGTGGAGGTGGTGTCTGGTTTGCCTTAGTGCTGCTGACTAAATGGGAGCTGCAGGGTCTTCCCAGGGCTCTGCAAGCTGTAAACCTGCRGGTTTGTGGCATGCCCGGCCTTGCAAGACAGTGCCCGTAAGGAGAGGGATTCACGCCTCTGTGTCCTTCCAAATAAACTAACATTACCCAGGCCAGTATGTGGTCAAGAACTGGACAGAAAGATTTAAAAAAAATCTGCAACCTTACCACCACGCCAAATATAGGAGAGATACAAATGGAGACATCCTTGGGSTGTGTGCACGTGCTTCTGATCTCATTCTCAATCTGCTCGGCTTCAATAGCTGAAACCCTTTTGCTATTTAAAGCTGTTGAAAACATTCTTCACATAAAACATGTAGCTCCAGATGCTCAGAAAAAAAAATAAAAAAAGCTGGAAATTAGAGCCTGAATTTGTGCATTTGTARGCACCAGACTGGTTTGCATGAAAAGACTGTTTCTAGACAGCATTACAACGTTCTTGGAAATGTTATTTCTTGAAAATGAAAAATGAACAGTGTATTGTGGGTGCTCTTATTCTAGGTCTCCCATGTTTGATATTTCCCTCCTTTATTTCTTTCAGCTATATTTTAAAGCCCCTTTTATTCCAGCTTACAGGAGCTGCCAGTGAGGGGTGCTAAACAACCACTGTGGATATGCTGCAGCTTGTGGAGCTGTGTCTTATTGTAAGACAAAAATTGTAGTTAAGTGTAAAAACAAACTCATGGGCAAAGAAAAACTGTGAAAGTCCCACTTTATCAATCAAAAATTAAGGGATGGTTACTGTGCTGCCTCTCAGCAGCAGCAGGAATGGAAAAATCCTCTAGAAACTTGAGGAGCAGGATGAAACGTCGAGGCCTCAGGCTCAGGGACCRGGAGGGCACAGAGCATTTGGGGAAGCCTGGGGAAGGGGGATGATGGGCGGCTGGCAGTGTAGCATGGTCATACTGGGAAGGCTCTTTCCAAATCACCTTCCAAATGGAAGGAGTTCTGTATAATGTATTTTAAAATCTAGGGAAAGCTTACAATTTTTCTTCTGTCTTGTCTTAGCTGTCAGATATGTGAGTGATTTGCTGTTGTGGACCAGTTTAACAGCGCATTTTCCGTGAGCATTTTATTTTCTTTCAATTCCAGCAAAAACTGCGTATCCTTCCACTTCTATGTTAACTAGAGGGTCAGTGAAGCTT